ACACACAGAGCAGCTGTTGCTTAGAACACCTTACACAGAAAAGAACAGCATATCTCACGCACCCTATTGTTTGAGTCTTTTGTTTTTCGTTTTCTAACCTGGCGGTGCCTTATGATCATTAAAGTATTAAGTTTATTTTCGATTTTTCAGGTGAGATTTTTTTCCCCTAATTAAAAGACAAATAATGTAATCACTAGAAATGAAAGGAAAATGTTTATAATTGTTTGGTATGCTGCAGATGAGTTTTTAAATGATCACACTGTAAAATATACAGATTCTTTTTCATAGTAAGATGAAGAGCTGGTAGCAGAAATTCTATCCAATTGGATGAAATATATAAATCATGAATTTCATAATACTGATAATTAAATGTCCATCTTCCAATTTAAATGAGGACTAGATTAAAACTGCATGGAGAAGGCTGATATTCAGAAATCATTAATTATTTTTAATTGCTTTGTGCTTTCCTGGTCTGATTTCAGAGTTACATGGCTCGTACAGGGTTCTCTATTTCAGATAAAATCCTTCTCTCTGCACAAGTGTTGTGGCTAAACTGACTGGCCGATGGGCTCAGACTTGTCCATGCTCACACACTTCCTGGTGTCAAACATTTTGAAAGGGGGTTGGTTTTTAAGAGGGAACAGCTGTGGAGGGCAATAAGCTGGTTTTTCTAGCAATCAAAAAGAAAAAAAAACCTGAAAAAATCAAAGAAGCTAAAGGCAGTGTGACCACCCCCCCAGCCCTGCCCCCAATCTACCCTGTCCTGCCAGGTCAGTTTCAGGTTCTGGCTTTGTCCTGGTGCAACCGTGTGCTCCATCACTCAGAAGAGATGCTGTGGGTGATAAACTATATGGTCAGCCTGGTGCTGATGGACAAACGAAGGTGTTTGCGCTGAAAGGAAAGGAGGCCCCCAGGCTCCTACCCAGCACGTGCATTTCTGTACGTGGCTTGTCCCAAATCTGGGGGTGGTTGGAGTTTGAGATTTCAGGTTATCACATGCTGGTTTTAATATGCATCTGCTTAAGTTCACTATTTTATACGACTATGTCAATTCTTTCAAAAGGGGAAAAAACGTTTTTTGGTAAAAATTCTTCACGTGGAGCTACAGATCAGTTGATAACCACCACAAAAACAAAAGACTAGCACAGCATGATGTCCTGTACCTCAAGTCACCTATTCATCAAGGGAAACCCACCATGAGACTGACAGGACATTCCTAGGTGGGAAAAAGCAATCCTGGGTGCCTCTGGGCTGAGCCGCTTGGCACAGGGGTGTCCCAGGGGCTGGACTCGAGGCCAGGGAACTCCTCCCTCTTGACGTCCCCCCAGTCTCCAGCCCTCGGGCACCTGCCGCCAGGCACAAGAACATTTCTTAGGAAGCATCTCACTCAACTCCCAAACATTTTAGGGGTTCAAATGTGAACAGATCGCCCTCACACCGGCACAGGCTGTCCTTATTAAATAAACTCACTGAAAAGTGGACTTTCTGTTGTTCACGGCATCTTACAGGCCTCTCTCCACTCAGAATTCGCAAAAGGAATAGTTTTTCCCAAACAATGAGCTGTAAGATGGTTGATCAGTGGACACAAGGTTCCAGGGGATTGGACAACAAAACAGAATCATTTGCTCAAAAAGGAACAATGAGGAAATGATTGATCTGTGGCCCAGAAGTGACTTCCAGTAGAACTCGACAGCATATTATCAGTCAGAAGGCTCATGAGCACTCAGAAAAGATGGCCATCCCTGGGACTGGCAAGGATTCCCAAGAACTTGCCAAATTAACACCAGGCCTGAATCTTTTCTTATTATGAGTACAACATGTGCTCTCATAGAGAAATAAGACACCGCAAAGAAACAAAAAGAAGAGCAGGGCAGTCCAGGGAAAACCACGGTAAACACCTTGGCACGTACCTTTCCAGATCTTCGGACATGTTTTTTTAAATGAGGTCACACTGCAGGTTCTGGCTGTCACTTCACTCTTCATGCACATCTTTTTATCTAAGTCATCCTTTTTTTTTTTCAAACTTGAAAAGTTAGGGCCACTGTAAGGATGTTCTATAATGTAACTGCTTGCCTTTGTTTCAGACATTTACGGTATCCACCTCCCCCCTTTTAAGTATTACATTTAAAAAGCAGTGAGGCTTGCCCTTGCGGAATAATCCTTTTCGCACATCTGTAAGTATTTTCCAGAGGAAATTTCTGAGAGAGGAAGTGTGAGGATCAAAGGGGCGCTTCACGGCCACTGTGATGAGGGTACAAGGTGGCAGAGAAGGGACACGAGTGCCTCGGGACTGCAGCACAGAGTCCGCAGAAGCTCCTCAGCCCATTTCTGTGGGCAGGAGAGAACTGCCTACGGGCAGGATGTGCAGCAGAGTCGGCGCGTGTTGGCTGATGGAATGCACAGTACCCTGAATGGCTGGATGGATATGAACGTACAGGTGAACACGGGAGGACCTCGCAGAGGTGGGCTGGCTGCTTGGAGGTGGTGGCCCCAGACGCTGGAGGCGTTCAAGGCGAATCAGGACAACTGCTGGCCCCAGAGATCACAGGGGGTCTTCCCAGGCAAAGCAGACACTGGGCTGAAAGCATTTCTTCCTCCCATAACCATTTGGGAGCACCTCTGTGTGCTGGAGAAACCAGTAGGGACGGTCTGAGCAGTGTCTCTCCCTTTGCAGGCACAACAGAGACGAACTGTCTCAGTGAAAGGTACAGAAGGGGTACATTACCAGGTCTGCCCTTGGGAGAACATTTAAGAGTAAATATTAGTTTAATAACCATACATACAAATTAAATACGGGCTGCTTTTCAAATTGCATTGTTTAGAAATCTACTTATCTTAGGAAGGGCCTGCAAACCAACGGTGCAGTGATCAAATGTTTTCAGGAATGGACCTGAGCAGACAGGCAGTTCGCACCGAAGGCTCAGTGCCTGAAGTGTGCGGCGAGCGTGCGCCAGAGCCGGTGCGGAAGCAGGGCAGTTTGACGATTCATTTCACTACCAGCAGAGCGCCAGCCGTCACGGCTCCCGGCACGGGGCAAGGGCGACGGCCTGCGGCACACGTTCCCTGGACTGTGTTTGGAAATCTTAACTTAGCAATACCAAACCGAGACACGTCACTCAGTGCCAAATACGGGTGGAATGGGGGCGATGCTGGGTGGGGGGCCTCTGCTCCCTTCTAGCCAGACGGCTCGCAGGCGGGCTGCCAGTGGGCGGCGGGCAGGCTTCCCGGCTGCACCATGGTTGCCCAGTGCTGAGCTTGCAGGCCTTCTGGAGCCAGCCGGTCCTGCGGGGTACTTCTGGCAGCATCACAACGAAGCCGTCCTGGACCCTGGTGGAGTAATTTGGTGCCTGCAGCCGCCGAGGAGGCCTGAGCTGCCTGCTGCCGTGGGCTGCAGCCTCAACTACCTCCGTTTGGAAGATAAAACCCAATTGACTGCCACTTACATAAATGTAACAGGAAGTTTCTGAATGGCTTCCCCTGTGTCTTGAGGCTGTTACCTTGGTATTGCTAAACTAACAGCTGAAATGAACCCAGACAACACCTCATCAAAGCCGCGGGGTGAGGAAGCAGCGGTCCAGAGGCAGACAGGAAAATTCCTGCCAAACCAGAGGAGATTTTGCTCTGTGGGCCCTTCTCTGCAGAACCATCAACAGCTGGGAAAGCCATCAGAGGACCCAGGTAAGGTGGGGGTAACCAAACACCACGGCTGGAAAAAGATTTGCAAGCTGGAGGGGAAAAAAGTCATTTGCTTTGATGGAGCTTTCCTTATGTGCGTTCGGAACGGGGCCGCCCTGCTGGGTTCCACAGACTTATTTTGCACCACTCTACTACTAAGCATCTGGGGAAATAGTCAGCTTTTCTACAAAATAGGTCATCTTTCCACACTTGTTATGCTTCTTGTCGATTCTGCTGAAATAGCCACAGCACAAGAGAAATTCTCCCTGGAGTCGCTTCTCTGAGACAGCACGCTCCTTCTCCCCTTGGGGAGCTCGGCTGCCGGAGCGGGGCCGGGGCCGAGGGCTGAGAGCACCCCTGTCCCGCCCTTTCCCCAGCAGGAGTGCCACCCAGAAATGGGACAACCGGCCTTTCTTAGGCTTCCAAACCTATTAGGGAATGATCATAAGAAGAAAAACGAGTACTGACACGAATTAGACCATTGTTCTATTCCATCTATTTAGTAACCTGAAGTTGCAATTTTTAGAAAAAAGATTACCTTTCAAATAACCGATTCATTACGGTACATGAATGACTGCCATGTTCCCGTGTTCAACACGTCACTCCCCATTAAGGGTGTGTGCTGGTAAGCAGCACCGATTTGCCACTTCCCCCTGGTACACCAACGCCCCCGACTGGAGGCCCCCTATAATCAGAGTCAAGGTTGTGGGCTTCCTCAGCTCTTAGCAAGTCACCTGCACTGCCAGGCACCTAATGAATCTCAATTCTGTAATAAGTCTTGTAAGTTTTTCCCCCTCTGGGTGAAGGTGAAAAAGAAAACTAGGACTGATGCAGTTCCTGCCAAGGAAACACTATCCATTTCAAGGCCAAGTTCAGAAATCAGACTCATACAGTTGTGGTGGGGGGAGGCGGGGAGGCCGCCAGTGAAGGCTCTGGCCACAAACCTGGCTTTGAGAAATGAGAGGTGAGGACAGACATGGACACGGAGGGCAGGGGACCAGGCCTCCGCTCTGCGCGGCTCCCCAGTCCCCGTAGGGAAGCTGCCCTGGACCTGGCAGGTGAACAATGTGCTGACTATTCTCTAGAAACCTCCCTTCAGGCTTGTGAAATCCACACACTGTTTTTCATCATTAGTTTCAAAACATGCTGAGTATCTGGCCCTGCTCTAAGTGCTGCGGTGACACAGAGGAAAGGGGAGGCCGGGTCCCTACAGGGCATCTTGCAGGGGAAAAAAGAGGTAAGACACACAGATGCCGCTGGAAGCCAGCAAACAGGGAGTGGGAGGTGGCCCCAGGACGCAGACGCGGCAGCAGCGGCCCACGTACCTGAGATGGCATACAGATTGGAGTGCTGGTACTCGTAGTCCGCCCGCGTGCTGTTCCTGCCTCGGAAGGTGGCAGGGAGTGTTAGAGAGATGTGCCTGAGAAAGACAGGAGAAAGAGGAGGTTACAGGGTGCGTGGCGCACTCCCCAAGGCTCAGAAAGCCCACAGCGCATGGGGCAGGGGCGGCACCCCTGGGGAGCTCCCGGCTTCTCTAGCAGGACGTCCCCACCAGCTCAGGTCCCCCAAGGTATTCAAAAGCTTCCAGACATCAGTGGCCACCTTTTTCCATACTGGGAAGTACATCCAAGAGAAAGCAAAGGTTTCCCAAGCCTTAAGTGATGTCCCACGTGCCTCAGGAGGTGGGTGTTTAATCCAGATCTCTGCCCACTGGGCAAAGCGCACCAGTGGGACCAGAACACTCAGCTCTGCACGCGAGCCTTGGTTTGTTCTTTCGTCTTGGTTCCATTCTCCACCCAGTGGCTTCCACACCTGCCTGTGGGCCTGCTGAGGATAACAGGAAGCACTGTGTGAACGACGGTGCTGGGAGTTACCATCACCACCTGAGTCCAGGAAAGAACGGCCCACTGAGGATGAGGACGACACACTTCCCTCAAGTGCCATGTCTGCGTGTGCCCCTCGCGTGGGAGCACCCAGTAGGTGCTCAGACAGCACCTTCAACGACCCAGCACATCTTTTATGGTGCAGGTGCCAGCCATTAAAGCTCACAGCACACACAGCACAAGCGGGTACTCGATCAAAGCACATAATCCATTTGGTGTGGTCATCGGTTGCCTTTAGCAAATGCCAAGAATAAAGATTACAATAATAGGAAAGACATTTAAAACCCAACAGGTCTGGGGGAAAAAAGCAACAAAATTACCTCCTTTTGGTATGACTGGGGTCGGTCTGAAATCACTCAGCAGCCTGAGCTGTGGTCACACATAGTCATTTCCAAAATGGAAAAGACCGAGGGACAAATGACCACGTAAAGAAAGCTTTCCACATGTTGCCTTTTTCACACAATAAGTGTGTGCCCCCCTAGAACGACTCTTGTACGTACAGACTCCTGGGAGTAAGGTTCTCTAGGCGGGGCCAGGAGTGAGCAGGAGCCTCCCAGGGACGAAATGAGCACCGAGGACGGTAAAGGCACTTGGTCTGCCGGGCTGTGGAGTGAGCAGCGATGTGCTCACCGTGCCACTGGCCGGCCCGGCTGGACCAGGCGGCGGGGCCTTACTGAGCGCTCAGGGTCGTGGGGGAACCAGCAGACACATCCCTCGAGTGTGTGTCCTCGGGGCACTTGGATGTACACGTAGTGAACTTCACTGATGAACTAAGGATGCCGAGGTAAGCTCCCCACCCCCACAAGGAGCTCTCAGGCTACAAGGGACAAAGGTGCAGGAACAAACTACTGTGCAACAGGACACGCTTTCGGAGAATAAAACCACACGCCGAGTGTACACGAAAGGAACAACGCGTTCTGGTAACAGGGACAGGGCTTCTGGTGACGCCTTCTCAGAGGAGGATGCGGGTGTTCCAGGACGAAAAGGACTGACAGGGCAGCCAGAGAGAGCCAGCTGTAGTGCAGGCGGAGGGTGCCCGTAGGAAACACAGCCGGGGCCAGACTGCAAAGGATGCCAAATGCCACATCAAGGGGTTTGGGGTCTATCCGCTCGGACAAAGGTTCCCAAACTCTGTTCTGCCTGTCCCAGCACAGATGCAGTCACTGGAGTCACGTGGGAACTTGCTAACAATACAGATTCACAGCCCCGACCCCAGGGAGTCTGGTTCAGTGGGCCTGGGGTGCAGCCCAGAAATCTTTTTAACAAGCTCCAGCCGTGACTCTGAAGACTGGCCAGGTTTGGGAACCCTGAGAGGGCGAGGAGCAGCTGCAGAAGGGTTTGAAGCAGTTGATCAATGCCTGTGACCACAGCACTTAGTCAATGAAGCTGAGCAGACAGAAGGATGAATTATTGACTGTGGTTGTGGTTGAGCAGAGCTAAAATGATGACAGGCGACCCTGTGGAGGGGGCTCGCCCTGAGCTGGGCCTGGGGCCTGCAGATCCCACAGCTCCCTTACGGCTCCGTACGTGGCCCCTGCGGGGCAGGTACAGGGCCCAGTGCAAAGTCAGAACAGGGGACCTGGGTCAAATATTAAGAATTTCAAGATGGTGACAGCAGAGCTTTAAACCAAGCGTGAAGCCCTTCTGAGCACGGGGCCCTGTGGGATACTCTGGCTGCACGCCCACCAAGCTGGCCGGGGGCAGGCACTGTGACAGTGAGGGCATTTCCAGGAGCCAGGGAAGGACCGAGCTTCAGGGCTGCCACACCTGGAGACTGCTGAGTCCTGAAAGCCCTAGGAAAGCACATCCAACTAACTAAAGACATGAAATGTCTGCTCTGTGCAGCAGCCGCTCCAGGAGGCCCTTAGAGGAGGTGGGGGTGTTGGCAGAACCTCAGACGACAGGCAGACTGGATGACAGCCCAGAGGTCCTCCTCCCTGGATGAGAAGACACGGCCAGCCCAGCCACTCGGCCATCCGAGATGGCTGAGTGAGCCCTGGCCCACATCAACTCCAATCTCGGGGGGGACTCGGGGTGGCGTGACCCTGCTTTCGCAAAGCTCACTCTGCAGCAGGGGATGTGAACATGTCCACGAAGTCACAGGAGCTCTGGCAGACAAACAGTCACGTGAGGCAAGCAGGAGGACCCCCCGAGGTCACCGGGGAAGCGCTGTTTCATGGGGACTGGGGCTGGCAGGGCTGGGGTGGGCAGGGAGGAGCTCTGGGGTGTCTCCTAAGCAGCAGGTCCTGCTGAGGGAAGACCGGCCCGTGGCCAGAGCCTGAGGGCCAGGGAGAGGTGCCGACCAGGCTGAGGAGAGCCACGGGGCCACAGCACGCAGGGCCCTGCATACGTCCTGCGGGATTTTTAAGCAGGTAAGTGACAAGATCTAATTTACAATTTTAAAAGATTACCTGCCTGTGGGAAGGTAAGGGCAAGAACTGAGGTGCCACGGTAGATGGGAACGGAGCAGCAAATCATGACGAAGATGATCATGGAACCTCAAACAATCATGCAGCACCGACTGTGTGCAGACCTCAAACCACCTGCTACAACCCTTGAAATGAACAGTTTTGTGGTAATTCTGTGGCCCACGGAGCTAAAGAAGGAAGTGTGTACTGGAGAATCAAGGAGCCTGGCTCCTGAGCTGCCCCGTCTACGTGGACCTCCTGCTCCGAGCGTGCTTGCCTCCCGGTGCACCAGCCTGTGCCTGGCCAACCACACCCTGACCCTTTCCCTCCTTGGCCTGGGTCTCCTTCCCCCTCACAGATGGCACCTCCCGGCTCCTCCTCCAGTCTTGTAAGGGTTGCTGTTTGCTAGGGTTCTGGTTTAGCTCTCTCCTCACTCCACACACTTTTCCTGGGCAGTCTGATTCGTATCCACATGCTGGGTTTGGCCGGCCTCACACACCAGCTCCCCTGTCCAGACTCTGTCTCCTGTCACTGCTTATTTCTGCCTCCACCAGGGAGAGTGAAAGTCTCATGAATCTCTGATTATGCCACGTTTTTTCCTGCCTCAGCCTGATTCTTCATCCACCCTGCTCCCTCCTCCTAGAATCGCCCTTTCTTCCTCACCTCCTCTCCAAACTCCCGTTGGTCCTTCAAGACTCCACGTAAAACTCCTCTTCCTGGGCTTGTCCCAGGCGGAACCAGGTGTCTGCACATCCTCTCTCACTCCAGTTATCACAAGACACTTCCTCAAGGGCAGGGCCAGATCTCATCAATGTGGTAGCCCATTTTTTTAGGACAATTTCTTCCCCAGAGCAGACAATCACTGAACAAGTGATTGTGGACCAAATCAGGTGTTGAATTTACTCCATTGAAACCCCGAGTGTTTCCGGGTGTGAACCGCTGCTGTCCCTATTACTGCATTTCCACCTTGTGCATTTGCTCAGTTAAACTTTGGGGTCTCTGGGAGACCCCAAGATGCTCCGCATCCCACTCCTCTCTGCTACAGAGGAGAACAGGTATGATGTAAGAAGTCAGTGGTGGCAGCAACCAGGAATTTACCAGGGAGAAAAAAGAAAGTTTCTGATCACATACCATAGACAAAGGGGGGCTGACAAGTAAAGGGGAAATTAAAAGAGAATTCAAGTCGTAGGCCTGACTGTATCTTTTACAGACTTAACTGGTCAGTAGGGATCTGTGGAAAGCAACTCGAGCCCTAGCGGCCGATGAGAGGGGGCATGGGGCAGCACTCAGAGCGGAAGGAGGGACGAGCCCCGCCCAGAGCGAGCCGCAGGGAGAGGAGTCCCTGCACCGCCAAAAGCCGCCTCTGCGTCTTCGTTTCTGTTGCTCCGGCACACAGGGAGGAAGGGACGTGGGAACAGGAGGACGAAAAGGCACATCAAGGCCACTCGTTAATGAAAGTGAAGAGTTTGGGCCAAGGGGACAGGTCCTGTGGTTGAGACGAATGAAGAGGTCACCCACTGAGGGAGAAGTGGCCCAGGGCACCAGCGTGAGATCAGCCTGAAAGTGAGGACAGAAGGGAATGGCTCTGCCGTCGGCTGAGCCTCAGAGCCAAGTGAGATCCAAGCTCCTTGGCGTCTGGCGGGGACCCACCTGCCAGGTGCTGGGCTGGGTTCCTTCGCGTGCGTCACCTTGCCTAATCCTCTCAGTAACCTTTTCATTGGGAACATTTTCACTTAACAGAAGAGGAGCAGTGAGTGCTAGAACTCGTGTAAACGTTAGTCCACGTGTCCCCCAGAGGTTGTCCTCGTCATCTTAAAGTTGCTCTGAGGTGTCATCTGCACCATCAGGAACACAGAGTGAGGTTATTCAAACAGGAATGCGGGGTCCACCCTGAAGACCCTGTGAAACTGACGATGCCAGGGACTCAAACTCTGTCATTTACTACCTCGGTGACCCTGACAGGTCGCAGTCCCTCTAAGGTAGTAGAAAGGGAAAAGACATATGGATCTGGACAAGGAACGGCCTGACCACACATCCGGGGAGGCAGACCAGCTGCAGTGGCTGGGAGCAACGACACCGGAGTCCGCCCGACACAGGTTCAGATCCCAGCGTCCCCAGCAGGAGCTGGG